TCACACCTGAGCTGGCAGGTGAGCTTCTTTGGGGATATAAGTTACTGATCAGGCCAGCTGGCCACACCCTGACCTTGCCCACTCCAGCTCAGACCCCTGGGAACCCACAGCAGCAGGGCACTGGCTGGGCACTTGACTTTGCTAGCTGCCCACAGCCATCACCAGGTCTTGGGGCCGGTATGCCATCGGGGATGGGTAGTAGACAAAGGTAAGGTAGAATGAGCTGGTGGCTTGGTCAACCCCTTTGGGAAAAGGTGGTTTCTGTCTTAGGTATGCTGAGAAGCAGGAAGATGAGCTGTTTTGTCTTTGGAATGAAATCACTTTGGATTTGGGGGCCACTTGCCACTCCCCCCTGTTCCTGCTTGGCTTCAGATGGTAGGGTTGCTGGGATATTCCTTATGTTGGGGCCGTGTCCCTCGGTGAGGGGGCGGCTCTTTGACTCAGGAGTGAGGTGAGGGCCCGGCTGGTGGAGACTGGGGAGACAGTCTGGCTGCGCCTCTGCGCCCGCTCCTGGATGCCATGGGCACCGTGTGGAGACACTTCAGGCACCTCCCCAGGTTCTGAAACCCCGGTTTCTGAGGCTCTCTGTGAGTCCATGCCATGGGGGTATTTTAGGGTGTGCACGGGCAGTAAGGACTCTGGAACAGAGCTGTGGAGCAAGCCCCCCCACCCTGCCCACTGGACAAGGAGTACCTGCTGTGGACAGCACAGCGGCCTGGAACTAGGCAGCTTTTCTTCCCGGCTAACAAAGTGGGATATTTCTTCACATTTTTGTTTTCAGTTGAGGGGTGTGGCTTGCAAAATGCCTTGCATTTCCTTGATCTTGCTCATCAGTGGTTTTGGGAGGCCTGTCTCCCACTCTGAGATGTTGGTTTCCCTGCCTTTCCCAGGGGCTCTGCTTTTCCTGGTAGGAACACACACCAGGGAAGCCCATGCTGAGGGGTGGGAGGCTATAGGAACTTGCCATAAGGGTGCCTCCCACCCTCAATGGTGTACCCCCACCCCACTTTAAAGCCAAGGTCCCAGGGCTCCCCAGGGTCACCATTCTGCAGTCTGGCCTGGGGGGGGGATGGGTGGCTTGTGGCTGAGAGCCCCAGGAGGGGGCACCCCCAGAGTGCAAGCTCCCCGCCTGGGTTCCCGTGGGATCAGTCACCGCCATTCTGACCTCAGGGCGAGGATCGGGCATCCACTCCAGCATCTGGTTCCTTCCGGGTCAGGTCAGGGTGGAGATGGCAGTGACCTGATCCCACTCCCTCCAGCTGCCTGTTCTTTTGGGCACCTCCCACTTGTTTATTTTCCTGGGCCTACCCGGATGCTGGCAAACTCATCTTCTCACTGGCCCAAGGCAACAGGGAGCCAGGGGCATGGTTCCGGTGGGGGATGAGCCTGCATACAGTCCAATGCTGTCTGCCACAGGTCAGCGCTGCCCAACATGGGGCGGCCTTGTATGGTGTTTTTTGAACAGGCACCCAGGCGTCCCCAAGTCTGGACCCCAGTCCTGGCCTCGGTGCCTGTAGCCTCAGGAACCTGTATTTCCTTTTGGGTGAGAGACTTCCCCTGGAGCATTGGTCATGGAACCAAACCAGTTAAAGGCACCCCTCATCGAGGTTGGGGTGACCCAACTTTAGGCCTGGGGCTAGGGGCATCTGGCCGCTGTCTGCTGGGCCGAACTGTAGTGGCCACATGTTGGCCAGATGGAGGATCCAGGAAAATGCCTGTTGGGGTCACAGCTGACTGAACATCAGGCCTCTCTGATCTGTCCTCAGAGAGAAAATGTGACCTGCCATGTGGCAACCCCCTAAGTCTGAGTGGGGGTTCGTGTCCAGGATTCCTTTCCAGGGCAGTAGCCAGAGGCCGGCTAGACTGGCTTCTAGGGGTGGGGCTGTGCTGGGAGGACCTGGAGGAGAGGTCTGTGTGGGGGCTTTTGTTAGGGGTGGGGCTGCATTGAGAGGACCTGGAGGAGAGGTCTGTGTGGGGGCTTCTGTTAGGGGTGGGGCTGCATTGAGAGGATCTGGAGGAGAGGTCTGTGTGGGGGCTTCTGTGGCGTCACTAGAAGGTGTGGGGGTAACTACACCCCTGACACGGTTAGAGGAGGTAACACCCAAACGAACTGTGCTGGCAGCCATGGGTGGGGAGGGGAGGGGCTGCCTGAGCAGTGGAGTCACTCTCTTCCCCTTCCCCCTTCCCACACCTTGACCAACGGAAGAGGGGAGGGGCTTCAGAGAGTGGGCTAGCACACTGGGTGACATGGTTAGACCCAATGATAACTCTGCTGCCAAGGAACAGGGCCTCCACACCAACAGAGACAGCGAGACTTTCCCAGGGGCGGGGCCAAAGTGCACCAACCTGAGCTCAGGGGCCCAGGGTGAGCTCTTCGAGCACCCACAGGGGGACCCAACCTGTCAAGGTGGAGTGAAATTTGTGCCATTTTCACAGAAGGGGCAGGGGTTGTCCTTCTGAGCATAAAAACAATTAAAGAAAGACTTCCAGATACACTAAAATAGCTTTAGCATAATAATATAGTAACAATTATAATAATAATCTGCCAGTCGTCTGTCTGTCTACTGCAGTGGCTTATGTGTTGTTGTGATGCTGGAAGCTATGATGTTGTTGTTGTTGTTGTTAGGTGCCATCGAGTCAACACCGACCCATAGCGACCTTATGCACAGCAGAACGAAACACTGCCCCATCCTGGACCAGCCTCACAACTGTTGCCACGCTTGAGTCCATCGATGTTGCCACTTGGCCAATCCATCTCACTGGGGGGTCTTTCTCTTTTTCTCTGACCCTCCACACTACGAAACATGTTATCCTTCTCCAGCGACTGGTCCCTCCTAACAATATGTCTGAAGTATGAGAGACAAAGTTTGGCCATCTTGGCCTCCAAGGAGCACTCTGGCTGCACTTCTTCCAACACAGATCTATTGGTTCTTTTGGCAGCCCATGGCACTTTCAATATTCTCCTTCAACACCATAACTCAAATGTATCATTTCTTCTATGGTCTTCCTTAATCACTGTCCAGCTTTCACATGCATATGAGGCTATTGAAAATACCATGGCTTGGGTCAGGTGCACCTTAGTCCTCAAGCTGACATCTCTGCTTTTCAGCACTGTAAACAGGTCTTGTGCAGCAGATTCTGGCATTTTAAATCCCAGCAGGGTGACCCTTGGTGGACAGGTTTTAGTGAGCTTCCAGACTCAGACAGACTAGGAAGAAGGAGAGGCAGACCACATCTGAATGGTTAGCCACTGAAAACTTTGGAACAGCAGTGTAAGAGTGTCAGATGTAGTGCAGAAGATGAGCCCCTTGGGTTGGAAGGCATTCAAAATACGACTGGGGAAGAGCTGCCTCCTCAGAGTGCAGTTGACCTTAATAACATGGATGGCGTGAAGCTTTCTTGACCTTCATTTGTCAAAGAGACTGTCTTTCCCCAAGTTGATGTTTTGGTCTTCTGCCAAAGATCAGCTGATGAAGGTCTTTGGATCTACCATTGGGTTCTCGGTTCTGTTCTTCCGAGCCCTCTATCTCTCGTTGTGGTTGTGCCAGGCTGCTTTGTCCGCTGTGGCTGTGGAGTAGGTTTTGAGATGGGGAAGTGAGAGCTCTCCTACTTTGTCCTTCTTTAGTAATGCGTTGCTCCTCTGTTCTCTGGGGTCTCATTCTTTCCCATATAAAGTTGGCGATTCGTTTTCCACCTCTTCAAAGAGTGATGTTGGAATCTGTGCTGGGATTGCACTCTCTATAGATTGCTTTGGCAAGTGTTGACGTTTCCACACCTTTAGTCTTCTTATTCATGAACATAGCTTAGTCTGCCATTTCTGCAGGTCTCTTTCCGTTTCTTGTAGGAGATCAAATACAGCAGTTTGACCCAGTCCCTGGATGCACTTTGTTGCTGTTAGATGCCGCTGAGTCCGTTTTGACTCAGCCACACCATGTGCTGACCAGTCTTGCATCATCCTCACCCTCGTTGCTACATTTGAGCCCATTGCTGTAGCCACTGTGCCAATTTGTCTTGCTTCGGTTTCCCTCTTTTCAATGACCCTCTACTTCACCAAGCATGATGACCTTCTCCAGATGTTATTGGGGTGGAGCGGTCCCTGATCCTTCAACAGAGAGTCTTTATCTCTGCTAGACAAGAACCATCAGGTTAGATCGACAGAGTTTCACACAAGCAAAACATATAAAGATTTGTTGAGGAAAAGATCTGTCCAGAGGAGACCAGGAGGGCCCTAGACAACACTAGCCCTCATCTCCCGGCACAGAGGGTTTACTGGGGCCTAAAAGGTCTAAAAGGAGCTCTGGTAGCGTGCTAGTTACGAGTTGGACTCATTTGAAAGCAGTTCGAAACCACCAGCTGTCCTGTGGGAGAAAATGAGGCTTTCTGTACCAGTAAAGATTTACAGCTTTGGAAACCCTATGCAGGGTCGCTAAAGTTGGACCAGATTCCATGGCATACCACCACCACCAAAAGGTTTTAAGTGGGAAAAGGCATCATATTGATTCATAGGGGTAGGTGGCGAGTCCTGGTGTGGCACTGTAGGATAAGCATCCAACCACAAGTTTGGTTTGAGCCACAAGGTTGGAGATTCAAACTCACCAGCCACTCCTTGGAAACCCTATACAGGGTTGTGATGAGTCAGAACTGACTCAACGGCACTCAACAACAACAACAACACTAATTGAATGTGTATGCAGAATCAAGATGGATTCTATTACAAAGACCTCTGGTAGGAGCAGACAAAACCTATTCTGGGATGTTGAGCATACATAGTCCTTAAAGACCCTGGTTCAAACCCTTTCTAGGGGTTGGTGTTTTCATTTGCCCCAGCAGAGGTTAGTCCTTTAAAGTTATTCCTAGGGCACTGGGTAAACCAGTCTGGGTTGCAATACATCTTTACAAGGTAGTAAAATAAGGAAGTTTTTATAAGTGGTGTTTCTTAATGGCATGCCCTGTCTTGTTGGTAAGTACCGTGGAGTCAGTTCCGACCCATAGTGACCCTGCACAGGGTTTCTGAGGCTGTAAATCTTTACAGGAGTAGAACGCCTCTTCTTTCTCCTGAAGAACTGCTGGTAGTTTTGAACTGTTGACCTTGAGGTTGGCAGCCCGACTCGTAACCACTATGCTACCAGAGTGCCTTATGCCACCTTACAAGGGAGTAAAATAAGGAATTTTAATGGGTGGTTCTTCTTAATGGCATGCCCGGTCTTACAAGTGAGTAACATGCTGCATTATTATGGGTGGTCTTCCTTAATGGCGTGTCTTGTCTTACAAGGGAGTAAAATGCAGCATTTTTATGGGTGGTATTCCTTAATGGCATGTCCCAGGATGTGACTGTTCAGCTATGTGCCCTGAGGAAGAGGTCAGAGCAAGCATGGGTGAGCCAAATGAAGAACTGATGCTTCAGGCCAAAGGCACAGCATGTGCAAAGGTCCTGAGGTGCTGTTTGACGAAGAGGTGACTGGAGTCTGGGGAAGGGGAGAACACTCAGGTGTCTCTGACAGGGACCTTTGTCCACTCCCTGGTCAGGCCTTTGAGGGTCCCTTCCATGCCTGCCATCCCCTGACTGCTTCTCTTCCACTCCACGTACCCCTGGGAGGTGCTGGGCTTGGGGGCCTCCTTTGGGTCTCAGTTTTCTGGGCTCGGCCTCTCCAGGCGCATGAGCTATGTGTTGGGCTGTGTTGGTGTGTGTGTGTGTGTGTGTGGCGGTGCAGGATCTGATTCCCTCCAGGGCACACAGTAGGCGTTCAGCCCCAGGGTCACACGGCGGTGTGAGACCTGACCCATGCTGGGAGCATGTGGCCTCTGAAGCCAGGGTCTGACTCACAGGGGTGTGAGGGCTGGTGTGGAGTGGCTCATCCTACGCCCCTGACTTAGGATACTCCCTGTCCACAGGTACTTCCAGGGCATCTTCATCCTTCTGGCCTTGACCCTCGGCCTGCTGGCCAGTTTTCTGCACATGGACATGGGACTGCTCACACCGTGAGTCCTTCATTGGCCCCGAGGGTCTGGGAGGCCATCTACACCTTCTAGGAGCAGGGTCCTGGGTCCCCAGCGTGCCTGCTTTAATGGTCCCTACCTGCACTGTGGGGGGTCTCTGGTGGCTCACACCTCCTTCTTGTGAAGGTTGAGTTGCAAAGCTGTGTCTCCATTTCTGTGGGGATGGGAGACCCTCAACCAGTGAACACCACCAGGGAACAGAGGGAGAAATCCTGTTCTGTACCCTGTGGGTCCCCTGGGGCTACAGGGCTGGGGGGTTGATGAGTTGCAGGAGGCATGTATGGGGCAGGGGCTGGGGCAGCTGTTGGGCTGGGGTTTATGCACTTGGGTTGTAGGAATGGGATACAGGGTTGGGGGCACATGGTGGGTGCGAGGTTGGAGGCACAGGGCTGGGGCACAAGGTTTGGGGGTGTAGAGTTGGGAGCTGCTGGATTGGGGCACAGATCTGGGGCCTGAGATGGCAGCTGCTAGTTTGGAGGCACAGGGTGTTGGGGGCCCAGGTTGGGGGACACACCATCTCTCTGACAGATAATCAGTTCTTTCACTCCCAGCCTGACCCAGAGATCCCCAAAGCCGCCCATCACCCACATCATGTTCCTTAAGACGCACAAGACCGCCAGCAGCACCATCCTCAACATGCTCTTCCGTTTTACCGAGACGCACAATCTGTCCGTGGCGCTGCCCGAAGGCCAGCGCCTGCACCTGGGCTACCCGTGGCTTTTCATGGCGCGCTACGTGGAGAGCGGCAAGCCGAAGGGTCCTGGCCAGCGGAGACACTTTCATGTTATGTGTAATCACCTGAGGTTCAACCTGCCTGAGGTGCGGCTGCAGGGGCGGGGGTCTCTCGGCACTGGGGTGTGGTGGGCAGTTGTGGGGGTTAGGGGTCACCCCCAGGTGAGTTACCTCATTCTCTCCCTCTGTCCCCAAACAGGTGCAGAAGGTCATGCCCGAGGGTACCTTCTACTTCTCCATCCTCCGGAATCCTGTCTTCCAGCTGGAGTCCTCCTTCATCTACTACAAAGACTACGCACCAGCCTTCCAGGCCCCCAGGAACCTGAGCGCCTTCCTGGCCTCCCCGGAGACCTACTACAACGAGAGCGTCAGCCTGAATAACGTCTACGCCAGGAACAACATGTGGTTTGACTTCGGCTTGGACAACAATATGTGGCCAGAGGATAGTTACGTGCGCAAGTGCATCGCCGAGGTGGAGCAGAACTTTCAGCTGATTCTCATCGCGGATTACTTCGATGAGTCCATGGTGCTGTTGCGCCACACCCTGCGCTGGGACCTGGACGACGTGGTCTACTTCAAGCTCAACTCCCGCAGCCAGCAAAGCATCAGCAGGCTGACGCCCCAGGACCAGGAGCTCGCCAGGAAGTGGTCTGCGCTCGACTGGCGCCTCTACCAGCACTTCAATCGCACCTTCTGGAACCGGGTGCACTCGGAACTGGGTCTGTGGCGTCTGCGCAGGGAGGTGGCCCTGCTGCGGGCCAGGCAGAGAGAACTTATGAGCCTGTGCGTGCAGGATGGGGAGCCCAAGAACAAATCCCAGATCACCGACCTGCAGCTGAAACCCTACCAGTCCGGAAAGGCTGACATCTTGGGCTACAACCTTCGGCCAGACCTGGACAATGCCATGCTCCAGCTCTGCCAGAGGATGGTCATGCCAGAGCTCCAGTACATGGCTCACCTGTATGCCCTGCAGTTCCCCCACAAGCGCCCTAAGAACATCCAATTCCTGAAGGATTAGGGCTGGCTTCGGGGAGTCCCCTAGGCCATCACCTCCATGTTGCCTGGAGGCTGGGCAGTTCCTGGTGCTTATCACAGGGTTGGGCAGTTGGGAGACCCAGCCCTTTCCTTGAAGGCATCTGTGAGGGACCCTCCCTGGGGTCCTCCCCCCACCCCCAACTCCCAGGGCAACCTTAGGGTGAAGACCCTCAATCTAGGGCAATATGCAAACCGGTCTGGAGATGAGGGGATTCAGGACAAGTCTTATGAGGATAAGCAAGTGAACAATAGCTACTTACATGTTTACATACCAGCCATTCAAAGACTGTGGACTTAGAGAATCTGGACAGGTCTGGACGCCTGCTGTCCAGGGAGGACAGGAGCCCTGATAGATGGGGCTCACACCAAGCAGTCCCCCCTGGACCAACAGAGAAGGCAGAGCTGTTCTCATTGCTGCCCTGTAGCTCAGCCATGGGGGCGGGGGCTTCCTTCCATCTTGCTGTGTGGGACCCCAGTCCTGAGAGCCTGGCTGAGGGTGCCTGTGTGTCTAGGAACATCTGCACAAGAAGACAAAAGGGAGGAGAACCCTCAGGGGAGTCAGAACCCTGACTGACTCTAAACACCCCAGGTGATTAGAATAGGGCCCCGGGGCACTAATTTAATGGAGGGAACTTTAGGAAGACTGGGTGTTCAATGAGATCATTACAGATAGTTAACCAATTTGAGAATAAAACTTGGAGACTGAAGAAATTGCCTCTAAAATGCAATGAGTCATGAAGCTAGGTGAGTAGTCACTGCTGGGAGCTGTGGTCAGCCAGGAGAGTTCCGTTCCTCTCCATCCCCAGCCCAGGGACAGCAGAGCCAAGCCCCAGAGTAAGTGGAGAAGGGACCCAAAGCCAGGGTGGGCCAACATGGGGATAACCGGAGCCCCAAGAAACAGGGTGATTTGTAACCATTGCAATGATTTGTTGAATGTAAAACTGATGATTTGCCCTGTAAACCTTCACTCAATTCACAATAAAAGCTTAAAAATAAAAGAGAGAAGAGAAAAAGAAACAGGGTGACGAGTAAGAAACCAGTCCAACAGACAAGAAAAAGTTGTTCTGAGGTAAGGACTCAGCAGGCTGGATCAGCTGTCTCCTCAAAGAAAGCGGGACCCACACCCTTAGTGGGTCTTATGGATCGAGTTATGTTTCCCTACCCCAAATTTGGAGTCCTGGTGTGGCTCTGCAGGATAAGTACTGGACTTCTAACTGAAAGACTGATAGTTCAAACCTACCAGCTGCTCTTTGGAAATCCTATACAGAGTCACTATGAGTTGGAACTGACTCAACATCACTTAACGACAATAACAAACCCCAGTTTACGTTTGAGTCCCAATCTCTGGAAGCCATAATGTGATCTTGTTGGAAATAGGATCTCTGATACATTATCACTTAGTATGAGGTCACAGTGAAGTAAGGTGGGTATTAATCCCATGAGTGGTACTCATACAAAATAAGAGGCAGACAGAGAGGAGGAGGGTGGCTGTGTGAGGACATAGGAACATCTGGTACCGCTTGAGACAAGGAAGAAACTTCCCTGAGAACCAGGACAGGTGAGCACTTGGCCCTACCAGCACCCAGAATTTGGACTTCCATCTCCAGAATACGGAGAAGATGAATTTCTCTTCTTATGAGCCACCCACGTGTGGCCCTTTGTTACAGCCATCACAGGGAACTGACAGAGCGGCTAACTGTGTCAATCCAAGAAAAAGAGGAAATGTGGATGCTCCTGAATACACGGATGTAATCTCAGGGTGAGAGAGGCAGAGCTCAGCTGGCCACATGGGACTTGTAGCTGCATGAACGTTATAAGAATGAAAACATAGACAGTATTCCCAGCTGCCCAGGAATCAAGGAAATGAGATTGCAATATAAATTTCAGTATCATTTTTGTTTTTTTTTAATGTACTTGTTTTTGACGTACTTGTGACGTACTTGTCACAAGATAGCCCACAAAGACAATGGGTTCTCGCAAGCTTGTGAGTGGTCATCTAAGGTGTAACTATTGGTATCTCCTGTCAGGAGCAAAGAAGAATGGAGAAAACCAGAGACACAACAATTAGTTCAAAGGGTTAATAGATCACAGGAGCCGAGTCTCCAAGACCCTGAGACCAGAAGAACTAGATGGTGCCCGATCGCCGCTGCTCACAGCTCTGAGACAGATCTCAACAGAAGGGCCTGGATAGAGTGGGAGGAAATATGGAACAAAACTCAAACTCATCAATCAGGCTTACTGGTCAGAAACTGCTGGAACCCCCGAGACTATGACCCTTGTCGTTGTTGCAAAGTGCTGTCGAGTCAGTCCCGACTCAGAGCATTTCTGAGGGGTGGCTGGTGAGTTTGAACTGCCAACCTTGCGTTTCAAACCGACCTTGAGGTCCAGTGCTTAGCCTATAGGGCCACCCCAGGGTTCCTATGACCCTGAGACACCCTTTAGGTCTGGAACTAAGCTCACCCCCATGGCTCAATTTTCAGCCAAAAGGTAGACAGATCTATAGTAAGATGAACAATAACACCGAAGAGAGACCCTCTCCTTAGAGCCAGCAGTCCACCATCTGAGATCAACGGCAAACACAGGGTGAAGTGGGAAGATGCCTGGGATTGGTAAACACAGGGCAGAGTTGGGAAGATGCCTGGGATTGGCAAACACAGGGCAGAGTTGGGAAGATGCCTGGAAATGGCAAACACAGGGTGAAGTGGGAAGCGTGCTCTCACGTGGTGGGGATTGCACAAAACAAAATGTGTGTGGATTGTTGAATGGAAAATCAATTTGCCCTCTATACTTTCATCCAGATCAAAATTAAAAAAAAAAAAAGAACAAGAAAGGAAAAAAAAAACCCAAATTGGTAACTTTTCTGGAAGGAAATTTGGAGAGATTTATTGTTACGGTGTTGGTAGTAGAGATTTTGGAAACAACCTGTCTAGGTTGTCCATCAGAAAGGAATGCAGTCCACCCTCTGGGTGCAGAGTCTGTCAGAAATGCCTTTTGGGAGGGGCATTCCTAGCATCATCAGTTCAGAGCTGTGTGTCATCCCAAAGGGATGGAAAGGAAGGAGCAGCCTGGGGTGGATTGAACAAGGGGTCTCTAGATGAGGAGATGCCTGTTCATTAAGGAATTGTCCTTTTAGACTGGGTGGGGATGGGGGGTAGAGGTTGGAGTGATGCGCTTGCAAGCCAGATGGGAGCTGGGGCTGGGAGAGATCAGCTGGCATCCTAATTACGACTTTGGTGACAGAGTAAACTGCTGTCCCTGAAAGCCTGTGTGGTGCTTTGCTATGGCAGCCCTGGGCCATGTACAGGTGCTCTGGGTGGGAGGGCAGCAGGAGAGGACAAGTTGTGTCCAGGGGAGCAGACAGAGCTGACCAGAGGAGCCACATCCTGCATTGTGATTTCACCTCCCTCCTGGACCATCTTTCTATCCCAGCAGAGAGCTAGTCTTCTGTCTTAACACATTCTCATACTTGGCTGACTTCATGAACTTGCACCTCAGTGCTTGGTTTTAACAGTACAGCTGGAAGCGCGCATTCAGGGGCATTAGCGACATTCGTGATGTTGAGAAGCCATTGCCGCAGCTGCTCTGCCATGCAGCAGGAGTCCCTACCCTGCGTGAACTTTCAGTCACTCACCTCCTTTCTGGCTGAGAGAATGGTCCCCACTCCAGGTTGGGACAAATGCTTCCTGCTTCCCTCAGGGCATCCCCGCCCCCACCCCTCTCCAGGAACACTGCTGGTTCCGGTACCGTCTGAGGGCTACTTGGCAGACCTGTCAGGGGTCTGCCTTTGTGTACCCATTCACCTGAGCACCTGGCTCTTTGCAGGTAAGGTTGTCCTGTCACCTGGCTCAGGAGTGAGGGTCGGTCATCCCCCAATGAATCTACAGGGTCCCCCTTTCCTTCTTACAGGAACCTCTGCTCAGACAGCTGGCCTTGGATGGCCTCTACTCATGTCTGCTCTTGGTTGGCAGAGCACAAACGGGCAGGTTATGGGGTCATGGCTCAGGGTACAAGGGTCTCCACACAGCAGCATGGATGGCAGCGTCTGCGTAGTCCTCTCCTGTTCTCATGGAAGGGAGGAATCAGGGGAGCAGCTGACACGGTGCCCTGCTGACCACAGCCCCCAGCTCAGCAGGAGTGAGTCTCCCATTTCCCTGTGTTGCCACTGTCTCCTGGTGCCCTTCTAGATCCAGCCCCTCTTCTGTGACCCACCAGCAGGGTCCTGATGCAGCTGCCAGCCCCATGCCCAGACAGTGAAGCCTTGTCTCCTTCTGCCTGGGGGTTGGACCAGCTGCGGCTCCTGAAGATGCCCAGCGGCCAGCCGGGCAGTAGGCAGTTCAGCTAGAAAAGCCCCTCTTGCCTGCATCCCTGCACCTGGGCCTGGAAGCCAGGACACACGGCCAGCGAGAAGCCCCTTCCTGCCTGGGATTGCCCTCCCTGCCTGCATCCCCATCCCTGGACCTGGAGGCCAGGACACATGACCGGTGAGCCCTCTCCCTGCCTGTACCCCCTTGCACCTGGGCCTGGCGGCCAGGACATGCTGTTGGGGAGCCCCCTCCCTGCATACCCTACCTCCACCCCCCACCCCCCTCCGCTCTGCCCCTGGGCCCTGGACTGAACTGGCCCAGCCTTGAGAGATGTAAAGACCAAAATTTGCTGATGGGGGTGACAGGAAGTGACTGGGGCTGACCTCGTGTCTGGTTGCTGGAGCCCAGACAGGACCAGTAGGGGCAGAATGTAGCTGCAGCCGGGGGGGGGGCTGGGGTCCAGGAGAGGGAGGGTCTCTGGGGAAAGTTCCATCTGCTCCCTGAACCTCAGGCCCTCCTCTGTGATGCTGCCCCTTGGAGAACATCTGTGCCCCGGGAGGCTGCCCTACCCCCAAGGAGGGCCAGCCTGGGAGGGTACATGAGCATTTGACCTCAAACACCCAGGTTGATTTACAGAGAGGCTGAGTCTGGTCCAGTGAAACCTGGAACCTACTGAACTGGACATTGTGCAGGGCTGGCCTCCTGGGGAGGTATGGCTTCTGTGAAAATCCCAGAGATTTCAAGAGAGGTGGCAGAGCTAGGGACTGGGCCCTGGGGCCCCAGAGCTCTGTAGAGCAGTGCTGGTTGGTAAGATGCTCTGAGCCTCTCTCTCACCCGGTAGGCCTCAGCCTCCCCCATGTAGTGAGGGACACAGCTGGACTGTCTCTGAGCTTGGGTTGGCCTGGCCTCCTGCCTGCATCTGCAGGCTGCACGGATACCAGCTCCAGGCAGGGGGCCCAGCTCTGGAAAGGAGCCAAGTGTGCAAAGAATGTCCTATTTGTGGCCATCTAGCACCCGTGTCCAGCGTGGGTACAATTTCCTGTGACTGTTGAGCCTACAGCTTCCAGGGGACAGGAAGAAGCCCAGAGGCTGTGGTCATGAGCAGGAGGCCAGCCAGGGTGGATCTGAAGTGTCCACGAGTCAGCTGGGACTCGGTGGACTGCAGGGAGCGTTCTGTGGGCTGCCTATTGGCTGAGCCTTCCAGGGACAAGTGGTGCTGAACTGAGTGTGGAACAAAGTGAAGGTCTTTCCTGACTTGGGGAACCTCAGGCATGAGGATGTCCTCTTGGCACAGCTCTGCTGAGTCTGTGAGAGGCTGCTCTTGTTTTATATATGTGTTTGCATCCCTCCTCCCCGCTTTCCACTCAGTTCTCTCCTCCGTCCTCGGGTCTCCTTGAATTTGTCTTTGTCAGTGTGTGGGGTTTTGACCCTTGCCAAGGTTCATGGGGATCTTCATTCTCTATATCCCCTCCCTCATCACTGTCCGCACACATCCCTAGAACCTCCAGACTCCGGTAAACATCTTTGTCTCTGGGTGCCTGTGGATGATGGGGGCCGCCCCCAGGTTGGTTAGTGTTACCGCTGCAGGGGGCCGGCTCAGGGAACACAGGACTGGATGGTGAGAGTGGGTGAAGCTGGGATATCGGGGACAATTCTGGAGAAGAGCCTTTGATCAGTTCTGCCCTGCACCTTCTGCCTCCCCAGGGCACCAGGTCTTGGGGTGCCCCCTTCCTTCAGCTGTGAGCTCAGCCCTCGCATACAGCCCAGTTTCCCCCCTTGTGTGTGACCAGTGTGTGTGTGTGTGTGGTCAGGCTGGGGAGGGTGAGGATGTGAGGGTCTGTGGAGGCATCACAACTCCCACCCTACAGAGACCCTCCCTGCTTTGGAATTTCTTCTGTGGGCGGGCCGCTCCTCTGGGGTCCTGCTGACTACTGTGGCTATGTGTTGGCCCCACTCTAGCTCTGCTCTCTGGGGGCACACGTGGAAGCCACTTAGAGCACCCTGTGGAGTAGGTGAGGCTACTCCCCCAAGGACCCACTACTCCTACTTGCTCTAGAGCCCAGGTCCAACCTTGGGATCCTCTCTCTGAACACCCTTCTAGGTCCATCTCTGGAGGACACTCTCTGGGGCTTCAGTAGGGGAGGGGACCCACCCTTCTTGGGCCATGCCTCAGACATTGATGCTCTCCAGGTCATCCATGTAGCCAGAGGATAAGCTTTCCAGTGAGCTGCATGTCTTTGTGTGTCTGTGCATGTCTGCATATGGGTGCAGGTGCATGTTTCAGATGCACACACACACGTGTATATTCGTGTCTTTGCATGCATGTACACATGTGCTCAGATGCACATTTGTTTGTATGGATGGATGCCTCCACATATAGGTGTGCATATGTATCCATGTGTGCACATACATGTTTCCATGTATATGTGTGGATCTGTTACTGGTGAGCATCTGTGTCCTCATTACTATGTGAGTGTGTACACCTGTGTGTATGTCTGTGCCTTTTTATGTATCTCATATGTATATTGTAGGTGTCCCTGTGTATACACATGTCTCCATATATACATCTGCACACATGTGTTGGTGTACTTGCATGTCTCTGTGTGATAATTTCTATGTGAATGTGCACACACATGTGTCTTGTGTGTATTTCACATGTACTGGTATGTGCATGGGAGTCCTGGTGTGGCACTGGACAGTTAACCATAAGCTTGGTGGTTCAAGCCCATCAGCCATTCATGGAAAACCCTCTGCAGGGTTGCTTTGAGTTGGAAGTGACTGGACAGCACTTAGCGACAACAATAGTATGTGCCTGTTGTCTGTGGTTCAAGTGTCTCTCTTTCCACATGTATCTTGTGCCTGTCTTTATTCATCTTCTATAGCTCCTTGGCGGGCCCCTGTGTGGGGACACTGACTGAGCCCCTCCCTGTCTAGATCTCTGGGCTCACAGGTCCACTTGGGAGATCTCAGGATGATCTGGGAAGGGTCTGTGATGACTCTGGGCCCTGCTCCACCACCCAGTTCATCAAGGTCTGTGTGGTGATGAGGAGGAGCAGAGAGCCACAGGCACTTGGGACTCAGTGTGGAGTACCAGGGAGGGAAGGATTGTGAGGGGCACAGGGGCTGAGCCTCCCACTGACTGCACTCATCGCACAGGGATGGGGACCCCACGGATCCCTGCACGCACAGTGCTCTTTGAGCGGGAGAGGACTGGCCTGACATACCGGGTGCCTGCGCTGCTTCCTGTGCCCCCTGGGCCCACCCTGCTGGCCTTTGCTGAACAGAGACTCAGCCCCGATGACTCCCACGCCCACCGCCTGGTGCTTCGAAGGGGGACACTGGCCGGGGGCTCTGTACAGGTAAGGGAGGCTAGGGGGCTCTGTGTAGGAGAGGGAGTTCAGGGGCTCCATACAGGTGAGAGGGGTGCAGGTGACTCTGTGGAGGTGGGTCCTCGCCTTACAGAGGGCACCCAGAACCTGAAGCCCAGGCAGTGCCCAGTGGGCAGGTCCCGGTGTGAGTGTTGTCTGGCCCTGTTGTAGTGGGGAGGCTTGTGTGTGCTGGGAACAGCAGTCCTGGAGGACCATCGCTCCATGAATCCCTGCCCGGTACTGGAGGCGCGCACCGGGACCGTCTTCCTCTTTTTCATCGCGGTGCTTGGCCATACACCTGAGGCTGTGCAGATCGCCACCGGCCGCAACGCAGCCCGCCTCTGCTGCGTGAGCAGCCGCGACGCGGGCCTCACCTGGGGCGGCGCCCGGGACCTCACAGCAGAGGCCATCGGCAGCGCGGAGCAGGGTAGGCCGGGCAGGTCCCGGAGGCAAGACAGCGTGGGGGTGGGCGGGCAAGGGAGGGCTGGGGGTCCTGTCCTCCCTTCTGTCCACAGGGGGTGGGGAGAAGGCAACAAAGACGCAGTTGATTCTCCCGGAAAAAGTGGGTATGACCCTCTCTGCGGACCCAAGCCGGTGGCCTTGAATCCGAGCTTTGGTCTGGGTACCGACTCCGCCTGCCTCTTCCCACTCTGGGCTCATTGCTTTGCCCAGGCGAGAGTGGACGCTGAGGTCCTCTTTGCCCCCAAATAACGGCTTCTTTTCACACCCTGTAAACATGCGTCACTCCTCCTTAGGGTCCTCACAGCTGAGCACTGTGCCCCCTCCCATGGTCATCTGTCCACTTGCACAGGGGCTGGTGGCCTGTCCAGAACCCTAGTCAAGGGGGTTGCCTGGACTCCTTCTGGGTGGGGCTCCCAGCAGTGATCTTGCTAAGACCCCAGAAAGACGTGTCCAGTCCTAGAGGAAATGACCCGAGTGAGCGCAGGGAGAGGGCAGTAGTGGGAGGCTCCGTCCAGGGGCCACGCCCACTACCCTCCCTGCCCTCTGGTGGGTGTGGCCCTAACCCTAACCCATCCCCTAGAATGGGCCACTTTCGCTGTGGGTCCTGGCCACGGAGTGCAGCTGCGCTCTGGCCGCCTGCTGGTGCCTGCCTACACCTACCGAGTGGACCGTCGCGAGTGCTTTGGCCGCATCTGCCGGACGTCACCCCACGCCTTTGTCTTCTATAGTGATGACCTCGGCCGAAGCTGGCACCACGGGGGTCTCGTGCCCAACCTGCGCTCTGGCGAGTGCCAGCTGGCGGCCTTGGAGGGAGGCCCCGGTGGTCCTGTCCTGTACTGTAACGCCAGGAGTCCGCTGGGCAGCCGCGTACAGGCGCTGAGCGCTGACGAGGGCGCCTCTTTCCTGCCTGGTCAGCTCGTGCCCCCACTGGCAGAGACTGCCCGCGGCTGCCAGGGCAGCGTGGTGGGCTTCCCAGCTCCACCCTCCCGTCGACCTCTGGTGGGGGCCCAGCCGGTGGGTGCCAGGAGCCACCCCTATCCTCCACGCTCTGGTCCCCGAGTCCAGGGGTCCCGGGAAGAGGGTGCTGAAGACCCTTGTGGGTCAGCGGGGGCATGTGGGGGTGGCTTGGGAGAGTCTGATTCGGCCTCCAAGGTGTCGGCTCCGAGGCCCACGTGGCTCCTGTATTCTCACCCGACTGGGCGTCGGGCTCGGCTCCACTTGGGCGTCCGCCTGAGCAGGGTCCCACTGGACCCGCACAGCTGGACGGAACCCTGGGTGATCCACGAGGGGCCCAGCGGCTACTCGGACCTGGCGGCTCTCCCAGGCCCTCGTGTGGGTGACCAGGCCTTCGCCTGTCTCTACGAGAGCGGCATGCGGATCTCCTATGAGGAGATCTCCTTTAGCCTGTTTTCCCTGCGCGACGTGTTGGACAACGTCCACCCGGGGAAGCGACCGGCGCTCTGCCTGCCCTCCTGAAGGGCAGCAGGGACCCGGCGTGGGCCGACCGGTCCTGGCGCCTGCAGGAGCGCTGGGGCGACGGGCACGTCTCTGTTTGTCACTGGTCAGCGTGTCCTGCACCAAGTTCTAGTGGGTGTCTTTGTAAAGCACTCGGCTGGCAGCAGAACAAAGGCTGAACTTCCTCTCTTTGAAACGAGAGAGCTCACGGTCTCAGATGGGGGTGGTTTGGGCTCTGAACTGTCCACCCGCCTGCCTGCGAGAACATGCCCCAGGCTGTCCACCCACAAGACTGGACCTGGTCCTGAAGCATTTAACACTTGTACTACTGGCTCTTTCGTGGTTTATGCATGAGACATAAAGAGACTGTCCCCATGTCTAAGTCCACATCTCTGCCTTTCCTTCTGTCAGATAAGCTTCTCTAACTCCTCAGTCTTGATGCTGTGGCCAGAAGGAGGATGAGGCAAGAGGAAGCATGTGTCTCAGAAACACCATCTCATACCTGTTTGGGCCCCCACCTCTGTCTGAGGTTGCAAATGGGTTTGCAGTCCTATCCTTGCATTCCTACTGCTAGAGGAGCAGGGTGGTCCCTCTGTGAAGCCAGCAGACTGAGTGGGCGGGGCCTGCTCCCTGCACACACCCTTGTTTCCACATCCCAACCTGCTCTGGACAGGCCACGGGCTCTGTCTTGGTTATTCCCTGGGGAACAAGAATGGAAAAAAGTTAGGAAGCAGCACCAAAGTGGTAGTAGGAATGTGGGGAGAGGTAAGTTTCAGTTCATGGTTGCCTTCCAACCTGGGGGTTCATCTTCCAGCACTGTACTGGACAAGGTTCTGCTGTGATCCAGAGGGTTTTTATTGGCTACTTCCGAGTTGATTTTATTCTGGAAACTTCAGTGAAGCCTTCCACCATGGAAGACCCTATACCGTTCATAGAAATACCAGGGGCACAACTTCCAGCACTTTAGAAGTGTTACACCACCACAGTACGACAGCTGATGGGCCGGCCGTGGGGATCTATTCTACAGCGGCAGTGCTCTACTGAGGGACATTCAGATGCTTAGAATTGCTTTGTCATTACAAACAAAGCTTCACTAAACACCCTGGAACATATATCTGTATAAACTGGAATTTTAGTTTCTGTCACATAGATTCCCAAATGTAGGATAACTGAGCAAAGGGTCTTTACCTTTCACTTTCATGGATAATAGCAGTCCGTTTTCTCAAAAGGAATAGCCATTTCCTTCTCTCGTAGCATCTGAGAGGACAGCTATGACTATTATCCATCTTCTGACATTTTCCAATTTGATGGGTATGCACAAACTCCATCAGGTCATTTCTCAGGTGACAATGCACTTTGTCCTCTGCTTGTCTGTCCTGGATGTAGACTCATAAAGGAATGTGAGTTGTTTGGGTCTACAGTGGGATAAGACCCTTTCCTTTTGTGCCTGCTAATGTCCTCCTTCCTCTTCACCAGAAAACACCATTTTGCCAGGCCCCAATGCCATGCAGACTCTCCACTGCCATACCAGGCAGAGATGGAGATTCCTCACAAAGTTGTTATATGCACAGGAAAGGAAAACAAAGCTGAGTTCTGAGTCATGACCAGCTCAGGGCAGTACTATGAACAATGTGGTCAGTAAGTGTGGAGGAAGGTGGATTGTTCTCTGTACTAGATTTCAGACTCTGAGTCATTTATTAAGAACACTGATAAGATGGAAGAAAGGGAAGATAGCCCAGCCAGAGACAGACCTGTGGAGGAAGGAAGTAGGGAACTCTGACTGGGGGCCTCTTCCAGGATGCCAGGATTAAGCAGTTATCCATGAACAAGTAGAGCAATCATGATAAATACACTCAGACATTCTAGAAGAAGTCAGGCTGTGCAGCCATTTCAGCTTGGCTCATTTTCTTTATCTAGGTTGGTTGGCAAAATGCAGGATTCTTTCACAGGTGGATGGTGACCAAGACTGCTGGAACTCTACAGCCCCTTCTGGGTCCATCTAAGGGTGGTGGCTACATCTGGGATGGCAGAGTTTTGGCACAAGGATATATGTGGCTACCAATGAACTCCAAGAAGAAAAAAGAACAAGAAAATCACACTAAGTTTATTGAAAATCGCTGAAACCAAAAATAAGACAAAAATCTTAAAATTGGTCAGAGAAAAGGATTACCTTGAAAACAGTGATATTTAAATAGACAGTGGACTTCTTAGCAGAAGCAGTGAAAGCTGCAAGACAATGGAATTGTGCTGAACAAAAGTAGCTCCCAATCTAGAATTCTTAGGCTACCAAAAGTATCCTTCAAGCATGAAGGTAAATAATAACATTTTCAAATAAGCAAAAACTGCCTGAATTTGTCATCAACATATTCCCATTAAAGGCAATGATGTACATCATCACACTAGGAGGGTGGTGGGAGTCATGGACCACACTGACACAGGAGGTGATATCAAAAGGACCGTCTACAAAACTTTTGTGCAGTATTTCAGCAGAAATAGATTATACTTTATAAAAACATTCCTGCAGTTAGCTGTAGCCACAAAAACGTTTCTGCAAGCCTAGTTTACATGGATCAAAATGCCGGCGAGGCTAAAATTCTATGCTAATTTACTTTTTGAACTATAAGATCCACTGTTCAAGCCCACCAAACTGCTCACTGGAAACCCTGTGCAGGATCACAGTGAGTCGGAACCGACTTCACAGCACCTAACAACAAAACAGCAGTAACAGTGATTTTATTGACTTATTTTAAACTTTTTATTGTGAACTGAGTGAAGGTTTACAGAGCAGATCATCAGTTTCACATTCAACAAACCATGCACTTGCTTCACTACATGGTTGTTAATAGTTAACCACATTGACCTCTCTTCAATTTATTGCGTTCCTCTCGCTACCTTCATCTTTCCTCTGCTAATCTCCCTTTCGTATATTACTTGCCTTGTCACACATGTTAACATGTTTTCCTACATTCTTCTAAAGTTTTTATTGTGTTCTCCTTGCTTTCCTTGATCTTTCTAGCTATCTTTTGAAGGTACTTAATTATAATTCTTTTGAATTCTTTTTCAGTTAGTTCCATTACACTGTCTTCCTCAGAATGTCTTCTGGCTCTGCATCTTGGTCATTTGTTTGAGCCATTCTTTCTTGTTTGTTCGTGTGAGTTAAAATTGTCTGTTGTCTCGGGGACATTGTGAGGTTGTCATATTTATAAAAACAGTGCAGTTGTTGGACCCAGAGGGGAGAAATCTCTGGTGGAATCCTGAAATTCAAAGAGCTCATGAAGTGGTTGTGGAAGGGATGTGACAGCCAAATTCCAGGCCCTAGATAGAGTTCCTATTGGCCTCAATGTAATCTATGCTCAGGACACTCAATCTGGAAATGGTTTGTTGGGGCCTTTAATGGAGCCGATTTCAGTGTCTGTTAGGATCACAGGGAAATGGGGGCAGCATGAATGCTTAAATGCTGGCCTGGTAGCTCTGTGGGTTTTGTAGGTCTTGAGCCCAGCATTTCTGAATCCAGGTACCAAAGTGGCACTCCAAAATGGAGAAGCTGACCCTACCTCATACTGGTATGGCTCCCAACCACATGGCTCTGAACTTCTGGAGAGCAGGATTTGCAATGGGGATGGGTGAGGGTGGGAGCTGGCCATAGTTCTGGTAACTAGGAGTGGTGGTGTGCCGTGGAGTCACTTCCAACTCATAGGGACCCTGCATAGGGTTTCTGAGGCTGTAAATCTTTACGGGAGCAAAAAGCCTCATTTCCCTCTGGAACAGCTGGTAGTTTCGAACTGCTGACCTTGCTGTTAGTATCCCGACTCGAAACCACTACGCTATCAGAGCTCCTTGTTGTTGCTGCTGCCGGGATTAAGGCGCTTAATCCAACCTTTAATCCTTATATTGACTGATAACATCAGATTACATCATGACACACCCATCGCATTACATCATCACATAACCGTCATATTACATCATCACATAACCATCCCATTACATCATTACATAACTGTCATATGACATCATTACCTAACCGTCCCATCACATTATAACAAAGCTGCCAAGCCACTGAGAACCATGACCCTGCTATGTTGACACATATTTTTTTGGGGCACAATTCAATCCATGATGGAAGATAGTGAAAATTGGAAACATTTTGAAATTAATTATGCAAATGCTGCATAAAAACTTGTGGGATACAGCTCCAGCCAGCCTTAGAGAGGTATATGTAGCCCCAAAGTGCACACATTAGAAAAGTGAGAAGGCTGATTATCGTCGATCACAAGATATTTTAGGTTGACAGAAAAGTGGCTTTTAAACAGCTGAAAATTCAGTCCAAAGAAAGTAGAGGGAAGGTGTCTTAGTCTCCTGGATCTTTAGTAACATAAATGCCCCAAGTGGGGGGTTTAAAGAGCAGACATTGATTTTCCTACAATTTAAGTTCCTTTGTTCGTGGTCATCATCACACGTCATCTGTCTTCTGTGTCTACTTCACTCTGTCATAACGCCGAAGTGAAGATGCTCACCACATACCCTACACTGGCATGCCTCCATCCACATGGCACTCAATTGCATTGTGGAAGGGGTCCCATTACTTCCACAGCTGTAGGGGTTAGAGTCCCAACACATTTCTCCCTGTGTGACACAGAGCTCAATCCAGACAGAAGGAAATAATGAAGATGAGAGAAACCCTAATGAAGTAGGAAAACACACGCAGTAGAGGACAGGAAACACGCTAGGAATTGCTTTTCAAAATCAGATAAACCCATAAGAAGTCTGATCTTCTCTTCTTCAGTGAGAACACGAATGGCCAAAACAAGAATGAAATGATTCTACAGACAGAAGAGGATTTTATGAGCAATTTTATACCGATACATTTAAAAGTAGATAAATGGGCAATTCTCAGGCAAATATGACTTGTTCACACTGCTACAGGATGAAATAGATCATTTGGAGTCTAATCATTAAACAAATGACAGGCCTACACAGCTTTCTTAATCAATTCACATCTTGTGTCCCTGCAGAGGACAGAG